AAGTGCTGCGAGGGCGGCATGCGGGAGAACCCCATGGGCTTCTCGTGCGAGCACAGGAGCCAGTACGTCTTGGGCGAGTCCTGCATCAAGGCCTTCCTGGACTGCTGCGTCTACATCACCCAGCTGCGGCTCGAGCACAGTCGGGACAGCCCACTGGGCCTGGCCAGGAGTGAGTCTGACCGGGGGGTCTGGGGGAAGAAGGCCCCAGTCTGAGGGGGGAGGACATCCCTGTCTGAGCCGGGGAGAGGTCCTTGTCTGAGGGGGCACAATGTCTCTCTCAAATGTTGGCGGAGGCCCCTATTTGAGAGGGGTCCCTGTCTGACGGAGGAGAGTGTCTCTGTCTAAGGTGCGAGGAGCCCTTGTCTGAGACAGGACGAGGTTGTCTCTAGGATGAGGAGGTCCTTGTCTAAAGGGGAAGATGCCCGTGTCTGAGGGGAGAAGGTTCCTATCTGAGGTGGGAGGACATAGTCTGGTGGAGAGGGAGGTCCCTGTCTGAGAGGGAAGGGAGTCCTGCCAGCAACATGGCATTTACAGAAAGGGCAGGAGTTGTAACTGCTATTTGCTGAGGGGCTTTGAGCCCCAGTGTTGCTAGTCACTCCTTTTCTTAAACACCTTTGAATTCATCTTAATTTGGGAAATGCCTTTCTCCAGGGAGAGGCATTCTCAGAACTGAATACCAGTTTGCCCCGCTATCCGAAAGTAGAGCGTTCCTGCGAAACCTTTCCTAAGCCGAAATGGCATACAGCAAAGAAGTGGTTACCATTAACTTTTATGGGAAAAGTTTCTGAACATTCCCAGACCCCAAAAATAACCGGCCATATCATAGCGAATACCACATAGAACCTAATGTATCGCTGAGCGGGAGGATACGATAAACACACAGCCCATAAACAGTAGAAACAACGTCTGCGCAGTGCGGCTCCGGGGGTAGGAAGGGGTGGAGTGCGGCGCCACTCTCGCTGCCCGTTTGACAGCTCGCTGCAAAACAAACACTAGTCCCATGTTCCGCCTTTTGCCTCTTTGGATTTTGCTTTTGGCCTCTTGGGGTTTCTTTTGGTTTGTGACAACAACATGGTCTTTCCTAAAAGTGAGATGAGGTAAAGTGAATTTTTGAAAAGCGGGGCATACCTGTATAGAGCCCGCATACTTCTGGCCACCCAGTGACCTTTGTGAGGATCCTCTCGGCGAGGTAGCTGTCACAAACCTGCCCAAATTTCACCTTTTACTAACTGTACATGGTGCCACCACTGCGGCCCTAACCAAAAGAACAAGAAATGTTCTTTTGCACCTCGGGTCGTTTTTGTGCGGCACTGGGACTCTCCTGACTCAGCTGGGCTGGGCAAGTGGAGGGACGCGTTGGTGGCTCTGGAAATGGTGTGGGAATCCCGTTATCAGTTACGTGATGGAAAGAAATGAAGGGGCCTTGGCTTCAGCGCTAAGGAAGACCAATGAGCCACACAGCGCCAGCTGGTAGACCTGTAGCAGCTGTAAAAACCTCTCTTCTCAAAGAATCTCAAACTTAGAGAAAAGTAGGAAGTGCAGTCACTAGCAAAAACTTTTAAAAATGATTTAATGTCTCATCCCCCCACCCCCAGATTTTAGTGTAGGTTTCATACAAGCAAAGATTGTGGGGGGAAAAATCCACTGCGATCAAGTTGATTCCAACTCGTAGCAGCCCCCACTGGGTTTCTGAGGCTGTAAATCTTTACAGAAGTAGATTGCCCCATCTTCCTTCTGCAGGTAGCTGGTGGGTTTGAACCGCCAGCCTTCTGGTTAGCAGTCAGATGTCTTAGGCACAAGGCCAGCAGACCAGCCCTACAGCAGAGATTAAAAAAAGAAAACCAAACTCATTGCCAGCGAGTCGATTCTGACTCATAGCGACTCCCATTGGGTTTCCAAGGTGGTAAATCTTTATGGAAGTAGATTGCCCAGTCTTCCTTCCCGGAGCGGCTGGTGGGTTTATCTCCTACAGAACCCCAACGTGGTCCTCAGAATCAGGTCATTAACACTGATGCGTTGTTGTGGTTGTGTGCCGTAGAGTCGGCCCCCGACTCATAGCAACCCTTCCTTGGGTTTCCGAGGCAGTATCACTACGGAAGTAGGATTGCCCAACCTTCCTTCCGAGGAGTGGCTGGTGGGTTTGAACCGCCAGCCTTCTGGTTAGCAGTCAAGTGCTTTAGCTACTATGCTACCAGAGCTCCTAATGCAGGTTTTTAATGGTGGTAAATAAGTAACAAATTGTTGGCCGTTTCAGTGTTCAAACGTGTGACTCAGTGATGCAGATGCTTCTCGGGTTGAGCCAGTTCCTTTATCTGTTTCCCTTGTCCCATCTTGTAATCCAGTACATGGTTCTTGATAGGGAAGTGCGGGTCGGACGCAGGCGCTGCCTCTCCCGGCCCAGCTTTCAGCCTGTTCGCTTTGTGATTGTGCTGCCGTTTTCCCTCAACTTCACTGACCTGGAAGGAGCTCTGGTGGGGTAGTGGTTAAGGCATTTGGTTGCTAAGCAAGAGGTGGGTGAACCCCTCAGCTGCTCCATGGAAGAAAGATAAGGCAACCTGATTCCGTGAAGACTGACAGTCTCGGAAACCCAGTGGGGATTGCCATGAGTCAGAACCGCCTTCACGGCAGGGAGCCTGGTTTCTGAGTTCAGGACCTGCCTGTTTCTGAAGTGTGCTGGTTGCTGGGAAGTTGGTTCCGACTCCCGGCACCCCACGTGCGTCAGAGCAGAAGTGCTCCGTAGGGACCCCACGGCTGGTTTCTCGAAAGTCGATCACCAGGCCTTGCTTCTGCGGGGCCTCTCGGTGGATCTGAAGCCCAATCTTTGATTAGCAGCTGAGCACACTCACCGTTTGCACCCCCTGAGGCTCCATGGTTTCTCATGGAAACCAAAACCACCACAGCCCAGACGTGTTGCCCTGGAGCTGGCCCGGACTCCCGACAATCCCGCTGTTAGAGCAGAACCGGGCTCGGCGGGGTTGTTGGCCGTGGTCTCTCTGATGTCATCGCCAGGCCTTTGTTGTGGGCACCCCAGGTGGGCTGAACAGCCGTCGTTTGGCTGGTTAGCAGCCAACTGCGTTTAGTGGTCTACACCACGCAGGGCCTGACCGTCGCTACGGAGTCACGTCCGACGCCCACTGCCCCCCATGCATCCGAGCAGAGCTGTGTCCACAGAGTGTCCAGGGGCTAGTTTTTCGGAAGTAGGTTACCAGGCCTCTCTTCTGAGGGGCCTTCCAGTTAGCAGCCGAGTGTGTCTACTGTTGGCACCACCCAGGGACTCCCTTTGAAGGGTGCAGACTGCTCCTCATTCCAGCCCATCTGATGCCTTCTCATGAGCAGATCCAGGTTGGGCAGGAATATGACAGATGTCATGCAGTGTCTTTGTCGCGGGAGGGACGTGACCTTGCCTCGTCCCATGACTGGGGTTGTTAACCTTGATACTTGATTAAAGTGACACACACCAGGCCTCTCCACTGTAAAGTTCTTCTTATGCCTGATCATCATCATCATCATCATCACCCCACTGCTGCCAAGTTGTCTCCGACTCATAGCAACCCCTCCCTGGGTTTCTGAGGCGGTATCACTATGGAAGTAGATTGCCCAACCTTCCTTCCGAGGAGTGGCTGGTAGGTTTGAACCCCCAGCCTTCTCGTTAACAGTCCAATGCCTTAGGCACTGTGCTACATTTAAAAACTAAATTAATTAATTAACCATCACAATACGGCAAAATTTAAGCTAAGAGAAATTTAAAAGAAACACAAAAAACAATCTTTACATGGCCTTGAAGACAGTGAGTACTGACGGCTTATATAAGATGCAGGACGTTTGTGTACGTCTGCATCTTTTTTTTGGCTTAAAGATAAGAAGCCATTGACCAAAAAGGCCAATGTGGGCAAATAGCTCTAAATTCTTTTCGCTGGAAAACCGGCTCTCTACTCCCACCACCAAGTGCGTTGGTGCCGACCAGCTGATTTCAACTCATAGCGACCCCGTGTGCCCCAGAACAGAGCTGCCCTAGAGAGGTTTCTAGGTTGTCATCTTTAGGGCAGCAGATGGCCAGGTCTTTCTCTCATGGAACTGCCAGGGGGTTTGAACCATCAGCCTTTTGGTTACCAGCTGAGTGCGTAACTATCGCACCACCAGATCACCTTTGCCAGATGCAAAAGAGTCCCAATTTGCAAAAATAAAGAAGTTTACCTGTTATTTCTTTGAGTTATAGGCATGCTGGCCTCTACCCCACTGAGCCAGGGTTGTTTCTTTTAGAAAGGAGAGAGAATCTGGAGACTACAGGAAATAGTAATAAAACCCATAATCTCCTGGGTTGTTGTTTACATGCACATGGTGTGTGTGTGTGTGTGTGTGTGTGTTTCCAGTATTATGTAATTGCTCTAGCCTGCTTGGGGTGGAAGGTGTTCTGGTGGTGCAGTGGTTAAAGCCTTAGGTTGCTAACCAAAAGGTTGGTGGTTCAAACCCACCAGCCACTCTAGACAATCTGCTTCCATAAAGATTGACAGCCTTGGAAACCCTGTGGTGCAGTTCCACTCTGTCTTCTAGGGGCTCTGTGAGTCAGAATTGACTCCATGGCACTGGGTTTGTTTTGGGCTTTGCTTCTGTAATGATTGACAGCCTTGGAAACCCTATTGTGCAATTCTGCTCTGTCCTACAGGGTCAGTATGAATCAGAATCGAATCGATGGGAGTGAGTTTGGTGGGGGTTTTTGTTTGTTTGTTTGTTTGTTTGTTTTGCTTGGCATAGGATGACAGTGCTTCAAGGTTAAAGGCACACTGGTGGATAAGTCCAGGATCTGGGTGGACTTAGGCATCTGTGGAATTCCACAGACTGTTGTGACAGCCATATGAAAAGCTGCCTGTCATTTTCAAGGAAAGCCCAACTAGGGTTGAATTCTATTCCAATTTGGTTTACTTGCCTTTATAGCTTCATAGTGCTGCTTTAACAGAAATACCACAAGGGGGTGGTTTTCAGGAACAGAAACTTATTCTCTCCCAGTTCAGGAGGATTGAAGTCCTGCTTTAGTGTGTGGCTCTAGGGGGAGGTCCTTCTTTGTTTATGTCAGTTTGTAACTAACCGGTTCCATTGGGTCAATTCCGACCCATGGTGGCCCCTCGCGTATCAGAGTAAACCTGCCCCACAGGCTCTCAGTGGCTGACTGTTTGGAGGCAGATCGCCGGGCCTTTCTTCCGCGGCACCTCTAGGTGGGCTTGAACCTCAGACCTTTCAGTCAGCAGCTGAGTGTGTTGACATGTGTACCACCCACGGACTCCATTTCAGCTTCTAGTAGCTCACCACCCTTGGAGTTCCCAGGCTTCTAGATTCTTCCACCTTTATTGTCATCAGATAGTCTGTCTTTCTAAGTTTAAGAATTTAAAAATACCTGCCCACGTTGACCTCTTGCTCGACGGCAGCTTGTCTGTGCCTTCTTGTCTCTGTGTCTGTGCTGCTCCTTGTAACTCAGAGGTATTGGGTTGAGGACCCTCTCACATGGACATGGCTTCATGAACATAATCAAGAAAACCCTATTCCCAAACAGGTTACACCCACAGGGATAGGGGCTAGGATTCCAACACATTTTTTGTGGAACACAATTCAATCCGTAACACTTGCTAACAGTGGCAAGCTGGCTTTAGGAACCCCATCCCCATCCCACCTTCAGTGGCCTCCATCAAGTCTGGGGACGTTCTCAACTCAACTGGTTGCATTCAGGGCCGACATATCCATTGGACGCTGTTGACACAGGGCCCAGGGCCCAAGATAACTCTCAGGAGTCCACAAAGAAATGCTTTCATTTCTTTGACAATCAGAGGGACAAAATGAATAGAATCCAGCTGGGATGATGCTAATCTTTCTATCCATGCAGTTGTAAAATGTAATTTTAATTTCTTTTTTATGGAAGCAAACTCAGTCCGGGGCTGAGTTTGCAGAAGCGATCACCCGGTCTTTCTTCCCAGGGGCCTCTGGGGGGACCTGTGGGGGGATTTTGTCATCAAATCAGTTCCGGTTCACAGCGACCCCACACACCACAGAACTAGACCCCGCCCGGTCCTGCACCATCCTCACGGTTGTGGCTGGTCTTGAGCCCATTGTCACAGCCACTGTGTCCGTCCGTCTCACTGAGGTCTTCTCTGTTCTCACTGACCCCCTACTTTACCAAGCATGATGTCCTTCTCCAGGGACTGGTCCCTCCTGACAACACGACCAAAGTACGTGAGACAGAGTGTCGCTGCCCTCACTCCTAAGGAGCTTTCAGGCTGTGCTCTGCCAAGGAGCCCGTGCACAGTCAGTGGTCTTCATCAGCACTGTCATTCTAGGGCATCAATTCTTCATCCCTACTTGGTCATAGTCCAGGTTTCACATGCGTATCAGGTGACTGAAGAGACCCCCGCTTGGGACAGGTGCGCTGTAGCCCACAAAGTGACATCTTTGCTTGTTAACGTTTTAAAGAGGTCTTCTGCAGCAGATTGGCCCGGTGCAATATGTCGTTGAAGGGGTGCCCCAGGCAAAAATGTGTGGGGCCCTGAAAGTCCTAATGGGGTCCTGGGCGGGTTTTGCTGCTCAGATGGCTCCC